CTGATCTCATTGTAATTAAGTTCAGAAAATATAATACAATCAGTTCTCATCGGGCAGATCGACGTGACAAATTATACCTTGAACCAGGGTCTACCCTGCATTGTGGATCTTGATCTAAAAATAACTTTAAATTTTGTATCCGTAGATGACACATTTCGTACATACAGTTAATCGTTTCTGTACTTATAAACAAATTGAAGACAAATCATATAGTAATTACAGACGCATAACATGATAACTACATACACATAAACTGTTAATTGCAATTACAAAATATGTATGTTAACTGTAAACACATAACATGCAATGTTGCAGAAGACGCTAGGCGCTTGTTGGGCGTCTCCTAGGCGGTCGAGTAAATCGAGTATATTGTCTTCACTTTTTTCACTCAGACTGTGAGTTGTTAGACTATTATAATCCCATAAACTAGTCAAATACATATGTTAATTAGATAGTTAGTTGAGTACATGACTGGGGGAATATAGAAGATGAGCAACTGGCAAAAAAATACCACTCGGTCGATTTGGGCGCCGACTCAGCCTAGTTGGGCGTCAACTAGGCGGAGTTAGGTGGCCAACTCGACGCCTAGAGCGCCTAGTCGGCCAGCCAATTAAAATCCGCCTGAAATCGCCTAGGCCTAGGGTGGGGCCGATTTTCACAATACTGATAACATGTTAACCAACATATTATGTGTGTGCAGTTAACATATTATGTACTTGCAATTAACAATTGATGTGTTCGTACTCAGTAGTTATTATGTTACATGACCGGCTTTGAATTTGTTTACAAATACAAAAATTGTTAAATGTATATATATACAAAATGTGTTAAGTGCAGATACATAATTTTTGGATCAAAGTTCAGAATGCATATGCAATATGAACTCTGGTCAATGGTATAAGAATTGGATGGACAGAAAGCATGGTATAAGAATTGGATTGACAGAAATTAAGCAAAATCATACGAAATTGGAAACACCGTCCGTCTGCTCGAAATTGCAATGTCGTGTGCGTAAATGGTAAACCTTTAAGAATACGACAGTTCCAGAAAAAAACATTGATGAATGCTGGGTACTTTCGACGTTGCAACTTCATGACATTTCCAATGACAAACAACCTGACAATCCCAAAGTATCATGACTGGAAACAAGTCTATAAAAGGGGATCTTCATCGATTAGGAATCATCACCAACCCAAATCCCAGAATTAGCTAGGAAGAAAATGGCCTCCACCATCTTCTTCTTCTTGACCGTCGCCATTCTCGCAGTTTATGTTACCGCCACAGATTACATCGTCGCGATGAGTATGGTTGGACTACCAACGTCGATTATCAAGCTTGGGCTCAGGGGAAGCAGTTTGTCGTCGGAGATAGACTGAGTATGTGTATTATATATGTATCTCAATGACTTAATATCCACTATATTTTTCTGAATTTACTTCTAAACGTCTTGTGCTTAGGTCTTCAACTTTTGATTATTTTTTACTGAATTGAGTCTTATGTTAAGATAATTTGGTAATTTCACATATATTAATACTCAATTTTAGTAGTTTTTGTTAGGTCTTCAACTTTTGATTATTTTTTACTCAATTGAATACCTCCAAACTAAAGTTCATAAAAGTCTTTAAAACTCTATGAAAGTCATGATTGAATACACCCCCACAAATCTAAATCTAGAAAATTCAAAGACTAAATTAGGTATTAAGTGGTATCCAAATGGTTAATTAGTTATTGTTTCTGAGTGGTGATATTAATTACATGCATATTATTTGGTGTAGTTTTCAAGTACCAGGCAGGTACAAACAGTGTGTACAAGGTGGGCGGGAGCGGGTTCAAACAGTGTATACCACCAGCTCAGTCTACACCCTTAACCACCGGAAACGATGTGATTGAATTGGGCACGCGCCGGCCGGAAATGGTACATTTCCGGCACCGGCAGTACTGTAAACTGGGACAGAAGCTCGTGATTACTGTTTCGGCTAAACCCCAAGCTCCATCTCCATCTCCAGCTACTTGGCCCAGAAAAATGCTTCCGGCTCCGGTTTCTCCCCCTTGGCCAATCATATTCCTCCCATACCCGCTCCGGTTCCGGCTACTCCATATTGGCCTTTGCCAATTGTGTTACCTCCATCTCCGGCGCCGGCTCCGGATACTCCAAATTGGCCTTTGCCAATTCCGTTCCCTCCATCTCCGGCTCCGGCTCCGGCTATTCCGTATTTCCCTTTGCCATTCCCTCCCTTTCCGTTTCCGGTACAGTTCCTGCACCAAACCAGGGCGGCCTACTAAAATAAATGATGGACATGTTCTGAGTGGCATATATATATATATATGCTTCACAATTATATTTCGTTGATTTTATTTTTATTTTTCTTTTAATGTTTCTTGCAGACTGAAATTTACAAAATAAATTGTGTGTGCTTGTATTTGAAATTCTACTGTTCCGTTAAGAGTTTAGATCACTTGATCATATCAATTATTATTATTATTATTATTATTATTATTATTATTATTATTATTATTATTATTGAGTTTTAGTGTATGTACTCCCAAATTCTGATCTACTCTCTGACGTGGCAAATATAAATATGATATTTTCATTTTGTAGGTCCAGAAAAAGTTGTCTACATTATAAATTTGAAACTATAAAGTGAAAATTAATAAATTTGGTAGTATATGTAGTATTTTCGATCTTTTCAATTTTTATAACATCCCTATGTTGAAACCCATTATGGTCCAGAGCAATCATTATTCATAAACCATGGTCCACACATTTGTGTGAATCATAAATAAAAAGTATATTTTAATATGCTAAAAGTACATTATTTGTATATATAAAGTACATTATTTGAAAATACATATTTTTTTATATATTATCAAATAATAAATTGCTCACTACGAAATAAGTGATTAAATTAATATAGTATGATTCTCATAGCTAGATAGTAATACATTAGTTGAACTTATTGCACTTCAAAAAAAGAATTAGTTATGAGGGCTGGGCACGAGTCCCAACCCTGAACCCGTCAGCGGTTGTGGTGAATTACTCGAGTTGCTACTTTTGTTACTGCGGCGAGAGCGGGCAGCGTGCCTAAAACAAAGTTTTTTTTAATGCAATTTGCAAGCTATTACAATAAAGAAATTTGTATTTTGTTTTCAACGTCTTGACCTTGTCAGGCACAACTCAACCAGCTTTGCATGTAATTCCAAATTTCTTTACATAACAAAACTAATTTCTATTTTTGAGTAATTAAGAACAATTCAAGGAAGTGACCACCTGGGGATGGCGCTGCCGCCGCTAGCCGGCAGCCCGGCCTCCAACCTAAACACCGCCGCCTATTAATATGCCTGTAAATCAAGAATTGTATATCACAAATACATTGAGAAACCCATATATACCATCATCATCAACTATTCAACTAATTAAGTTAAGTGTATATGATGGACTCAATGGGTTCAAGAGTTGTGTTGCTTGCATTCGCTGTTGCTGCAGTAGTTGTTGCTCCTCCAGTTTTGGCAACAGAGTTTGTGTTGGAGATGAGAATGGCTGGAAGAATAACAACTTCGATTACGAGCTTGGGCAGGAAGCAAAGAGTTCCACGTTGGAGACAAACTCAGTATGTTCTTGCTTCTTTGTGTTATCCTTATTATGGACAAGTTTCCATTTTTAATTTTACACTCACTGTGCACCGGATAAATCCCGTCTTTATGATTTAATCCTTTAACTAGCAGTTTTGTGTTTGTGGGTGTGCGTTAGATAAATCTCATATTGTGATCTAATTGACAAGGAGTTAAACTAGTCTAGATGTCGACCGTCTCAAACTAAAAAAGTGAATAGCTGCTCCATAAAGAATCGAACTTAAAACCTTGTGGTTCATTATTTACCAAATAAACCCATCATTATGTTCCAGGGTGTGTATTAGGTAAATTCCATCTTTATGATTTAATCATTAAACTAGTCTTTTTGTGTTCGAGGGTATTCATTAGGTAAAATCTCGTCTTGTGATCTAATTGACAATGAGTTAAACTAGTCTAGATTGTTTACAGTCTCAAACTAAAAAGGTGAACAGCTGCTCACATAGGAATCGAACTTAAAACTTTGTGGTTCATAAGTTCATTTACCAAATAAACTCACTATCATTGTGTTTCAGGGTGTGTATTAGATAAATTCCTGTCTTGTAATCTAATTGACAAAAAATTTAACAAACCTAGATTGTTGACCGTCTTAAACTAAAAAAGTTAATAGACCACGAGAGTTGAACTTGGAATCTTTTGGAATCTTGTTGTTGCTTATCAGGTTGAATATCTAATCTATTCTCTAATTACTGTTGGATTCTGCTACATGAGTGATGAGAGATAGGAGGAGAAGAGGTGCAGAGAAGATGAAGAAGAAGGATCGAAAAGCAGAGAAGGAAAAAGTATTATTCCCGTCAACTATTATTGCTTTACACGCTGGCTATATATATATATATATATATATATATATATATATATATATATATATATATATATAAAAAAGATGAAGGACATTTTTATCCTCCAACACCCCCCGTAAGCTGGAGCATGTAGATCCTATATGCCCAGCTTAGATACAAAAGAGCGAAAAAAAAAAGGAGAAACAATATTCTCATTCTCATCTAAACAATCTGCTACATTAATGAAGAACCCATGCCACTTGCAAATCATTCACATCATCTAATCTCATCAATCATCTAAACAAATTTTAGAACTTTCAACTTTCAAGCTTGCAGTTTCTGTTCATCTGCTTCTATTTTCTGTTTTTCTGGTTCAAGCATGGGGCAAATTATTCAGCATGTAGAGCCAACTCTGATAGTCAGCTCAAGTCCCCTTCAGATCCTTCATGTGGCAGCATTTTCCATGGGGCATTTCCAAATCAAGGGCTGTTACATCATATACTTCTATCAGCTCAGCAAATTTTGCAAAGGACAACTCAAGCCAAAGATTGCAACTACAAAACGTCGCAGTTGTGAGTATCAACTCGAACTTTATAAGCTAGTTCCGGACATTGTCCAGCTGAATGTTGATGAAATCTTCTGTGTCATCGATATACTCCTTAAGTTGTTGAGGGTGCTATCAATGACGACAAAGTAAGCCTCCAAGAGCATTTCGAGCTCCTCTATACTTTGAGCTTCTGCAGCACTTTCTGAACTTCTCATGCTCTCATGCCTGCTTCCGGCTATGCTCAAACCTTTTTCGAGCTTCCTGCTGCTATAAGGAGGAGACGAAACAGGAGAAACTGGAGCAGAAACAGACAGCACACCATCAGTTGACTTGTATCCAACCACAGATTGATCACCATAAATTGATGATGATTCCATCTGCATTTTCTTCTCAGTAAAATACATTTCAGCCATGTCCCCATCATCGTCCATAAGTTGCTCTATCTCATCCCTAACCTTCTGAACACGACGAGTCAAGGCTACAAGTCTGCTTTTCAATCGACGAACACGCTCCAGATTCAATGTACTTATCTTCGATGTAAGCTCATCCAAAAAAAAATTCAAACTCTACATCTTCTTCACTTTGTTTAGTTATGCAAGAGCAACTTCCCGCCTCATCTCCTGCGGCTCCACTCCCGGCGCCGTCTCCTCACCGACGGCGGCATTGGCTCGAAGGCAACCGCGGGACAGAGAACTGCCGGCCTTACAAATGTCTCTCTGAACGAATTTTCGATCGAGAGACGCAACCGCTTTGGCTGAATCGGAGAACTGCTCCGTCTTCTTCAGATTGAGAATCGAAGAACTGCTCCGTCTTCTTCAAATTGAGAATCTCATTCGGCAGATCAATTCCTTCCTTCCGCTGCGGAACGACTGTGGAGATCGCCGGGGAGATTCGAGTCTCCTTATCTTGTGGATTCTTCTGTGGAATCGTTGCTGATGATCGACTACTCTGCGTAGCAATCGGATTGATTCGCGATGCGCGAACTATGGATTTAACAATCGACATCGCCGAATGAGCTGTTCTTTGACTCGATTTTCCGGCGACTGTGACAGTGGTGGCGTCGGCTTTGTTGCTACTCTCCGTAGCAATAATCCTCTGCGGATTAATCGGACCTCTGTGGATTGATCGGAATCCTCTGCGGATTGATCGGAGATGCGCGAACTACTGGCTTCGGATGAACCTCTCTTTGATTCGGTTCTCCGGCGTCGATAGTAGCGGCGGCGTGGCTGCCTCGCCGCTTTGATACCATGTTGGATTCTGCTACACGAGTGATGAGAGATAGGAGAAGAAGAGGTGCAGAGAAGATGAAGAAGAAGGATCGAAAAGCAGAGGAGGAAAAAGTATTATTCCCGTCAACTATTATTGCTTTACACGCTGGCTTATATATATATATAAAAGATGAATGACATTTTTATCCTCCAACAAATTAAGCTAAAAGAACTGTTTTTGTTGTAGTTTTCAAGTATCGCCGGGGAGCACACAATGTTTATAAATTGGACGGAGCTGGGTTCCAGCAGTGCAAGGCGCCGGAAAACAGCACCCCCATGAGTTCCGGCAACGACGACGTCACGTTGTCGTCACCGGGGAAGAAATGATACATTTGTGGCGTTGGGAGTCACTGTGAATCTGGAGGGCTGAAAGCTTGCCATCAACGTTTTATCTCGACAGGGTGTTGCTCGGACTCCGGCCATGGCTTCGGTTGTAACACCCCAGATTTTCAAGACATTTAAAACTTATAAGAAATGTAGAATCTTATTAAATCCCAAGATATAAATACAAGCGTTTGGGGTGCTATGCCACACCTGGGCTAGAGAACCCAAGTGCACAGGCTAACTAACTAATATCCTCAAAGCGTAAATACGTAAACGTGGCACGCAGGCCAAAAGGGAAACTATCTACTTCTAAGTTCTAGCGCACTCCAGTGACTTAATCTTCTGTGCCTGAAAGCCAAATATATCTGTTCAGCGAGAGATGCTGGTAACCCACTCCAACGCGTTGAAATACAATACATATAGAGATATATATAGATATACGAAAACCATTTTGAACATGAAGATATATCCTACGAACTCTAGCTTTAAAACCGGGAATGACTCGACAGATAAGACCAGACACAAGCAACAGTTATAACAAGCATATGCAGTTCACAATAGATAAGGCGGATAAGGCAAAGCATAAACAACGATCATAACCCAACATGAACAATCCCCAATATAAATCCCATAGTCACATCCCCCAAGACACTCGTAATCACAACACGTCCATGTCACAGCACATAACACACTTTGTTGGCGCCACAGGACCAATCGCATGCCCATACATGAGGGTCAGCGCATATAGCTCTGACACAGCCCCGCAGCACCCTGCCCCGTATCGCAACACGGAGGGGTCGATCGCAACCGACCGATGAACCGCAGCTCATCATAGTGTTTGATCGCAACCAAACAGTGGACCGCAGCCCAAGAGAATGTCATCTAACCGCAGCCAGGAAAAAGGACGAACCGCAGCTCGTATAGAAACGTTTGATCTCAACCAAACGGTGGACCGCAGCCCAAGAGTATCAATCTGACCGCAGCCAGCTTCTGAACCGCAGCTCAGGATAACCAATCCGATCGCAACCGAATTGGGGTAACACACACACATAACACATAGCAAGCACATGCAACCCACATTACACATTGGGAAGGGGGAGAAAATGTATAACAAAACCTATGCGTGACCCATCACATACTAGGAATAGTCCTAAGGGGTTCATACTTCTACCACCTAGGTCAACGGGATACCAATTCAACTAGCATGCAATATAATAGACTCGTAAACCTACGAACGGCACCCGAAATATCAAACTAGACATAGGCACGATGAACGGAGTCCGTTGAGACACCACGGGGATCGGGGGAACATCAAACGGGGAAGCCGGGATCCCGAATTGGGGAAATTTCCAGCGGGTAGCCGGTGGGTGGGGGCCACCCGCCGGCTGCCCGCCGGAATTACTGTTCCGGGCAGCGGGTCGCCGGCGGGCAGCTGCCCGCCCGCCGGCTACCGCTGCCGGGCGGTGTTTCACGGCCGTGGGTAGGTGGCGGGTCCCCTACCCCCCACCTACCCCCACTGACTCTTTTCACACACTTTACGCCCCGGGAACCTTTGTGGAACCCGAAACCATGCTTAGACACTTTACAACGCAATTAACGACAACACGTAGACAATTAACGAATCAAATACAAGAAACGAACGGCACATAACCTATCATGCTTTTCTAAATATAATCAACACCCAAACATGCGATTTCCCCACCCGATAATCCAAGAATAAGATCATACGATACATCCTAGGGTTCTAATCATTTTTATATCAACAAGAATATGGTTTGTCTTCTAATTGCAAGATTCGGTAAGAATAACACATAAACATCAAGAGCATCACACAATTATCAAGAACAACACATAATCATCAAGAACTCCATATAAACATCAAGAATCTCCCAATATCAAGACTATCAAGATCCCTCATGGGATCATCACGTCAAACATCAATAATCATCATCATATCTCGACAATACACAATAATATGGGGGAAACCCTAAGGGGGAATCATAGCTATGAAAATAGGTTTTGTTGAGACATGGGTTACCTCTTAGCCTTAATTAATTCCTTGGCTATGAAGGGTCTTTCTTTAAGCTTTCTTGCTTTCTTGATTTCTTCTAAGGGGATTCTTGGAGCACTTTGGGGTGGTGGAACGTTTATTGTGGTGGGGGGTTCTAGGTGCCTCTTAAGTCCCCTATTTATATATTTAGGAGTCCTGGTTAGGAACTAATATTATAGGCTTGCTAATTCTATTCCTTTTGGAACTAGGGATTGGGATTAGGGATAAGGGTCCATGGTCCATAGTGGACCATATTAATTAATTAAAGGGAATCCTAATCGTAGTCTGAATAGTAAAAGGCCTACTTCCTTTATTCCTAATAGATAACTAGGTCTAGGATTCCTAATTAGAATCTGAATAGTAAAGGGTTTACTTTCTTTATTCCTAATAGGCTTAGGACTCTAATTTAGGCAAGGGTCCACGGTTCATGGTGGACCTTTATTAATTAATTAAAGGAAACCTAACCGAATTAAATCATATTTAATTATTATTAACGGGATTAATTTAATAATTAATCCGGGATTGAAGGCCGTAACACGGGGTGTTACACTCTCCCCCCTTACGTGAAGCTTCGTCCCCGAAGCTTGGAAATCATTGCAGGGTTAACGAGTCAAGAGAAGAACCGTGGTCCTATAGAGAAGGAGGTATTCCATGCGGAAATTGTATACTTGCACGCCTATGTGTGTTGGGTTTTTTTTGGGAACGATTAGGTTTTACAGGGCTAAGAGAGTGGGTTTCAAACTTGAGGACACGGTGAATTCAGGAATTAGGATCAAGTTTTCGAGGTTGCAACTTAGGTTTTGAGGTTGCCACTTGTATGGAATCGTTAAAACATGGGATTGAGAATGGGGTCTGAAGGGTAGAAAGGGTTTTGAAATAAGGAAGGGGCCGATTTTTCCGAGGGAGGGAAAGGAATTCGGGCTAGGACGGGTTAAGGTTTCTCGATCCCAAGTGAATAATCTGGTTAGATGCTTTGATCACGATGCGCCGACGAGCTGATGATCCTCCTTCCTTGGTGTTGGTGCTTGCTTGACTTTAAGATCCTTGTTAGACCTTGCTTCCCAGGCTAAGGTTTCATCCTTCTCTTCTTTCTTGAGGGAATTTCCCGTGGTGATTCAACACTTACTTCTTTAATGCGCCCAAGGTCTTGACCGAGTTGGGTCAACCAAGCCAATCTCTTAGGGCGCATTTCCCAAATTCTTCCCAAAGTCTCTTGGGAGTCGATGGACTTTGGGTTGAATTTCTCTTCTTATTGAATTTCATCTCCTCTTTAGTGGATGAAATTCTTAGTAAGACTTCATGTCTTACCCGAGGTTCGGCATTGTTGTGCCCTGTTTGTGTTATTTTTAATGATGAAGGTGTCCTTGCGTGCCCTTTTTCTTTTAAAGCGCAGTCGGTTACCAAATCTCGTTGTGGGACGACTCGGCGACTTTACGAGTCACCTTATCTCCTTGTAGGTCCTTAATGACCCTTGAAGTCTTGGCGCGAATGTGTTCTTCACCCTTTTGCTTAGCACCATGGCCTACGTAGTTCTTGATTCCATACAACTTGTAAGGAGTCCTCTGATTTGCTCGAACGATGTCCATGGTTTGGGGGAGTCCCGGTCCCTTCCTTAGCATTTTGACTTTTAAGGTTTTCGTGGGTTCTTAGTACGAGTTCCCAACTCGCCTCCTTGGTTTGCGCAATCCTTTACGCCAAACATCCCTAGTCGGTTGTATCGTAGGATCCGATTTCAATTACTCGTGCAATGTAATTGATTGTGATTTCCCGATGGTGTCTCGTGCGTCAAGGTCTTTTACGTAGGACACTATGTTTGGGTGGTCCATGGTTCCTTACCCAAGACTCACATTCCTCAATCGAGGCACACAAGTGCGCCACAAATCAATAAAATGAGGGTTAAGAAATCAGCACATTGTACCAGTGGGCGCGAGGTGGGCGGTCGTCCGCCTGCCAAGCTCCTGCCAAGGACCCGCCAAGGTCCCGTTGGGGACCCGCGGGAAAGTGACTAGGAATAGTCAATTCCTTCGGGAAAGACCCCAAAAATGCACAGATTCATGTCCTGACAAGTCCCATGCCCTTGTGCACAATAAAAGGGACTTGGATACATAGGATGACCCATCGTACAATGTTCATTGATCCTTAAGCACGAGTTCTAGAGGTAGATATACATACATATATATATCTATGTTTTCTTGGTCTGGGTTTAAAGGGGTGTAAGGAGTGCAAGGGCTAGGTTTCAAAGTCGAGGGCGGATAGGGTCGATGTCTCAAGGTCGTAATACAGGAAGGAAGGTTGCCACCTTGTACGGGTTCGTCTGTAATGAGGGATCAAGAGCGAGGTTTGGAGTGATAGGACGGATTCTT